AGCCGCCAGCCACTCTGGGGCCGGCCCTCAGGACCTCGGGAAACTGGATCCGTAGGGCAGGGCCAGCTTCAGTGACAGACGGAGCCACCTGCTTCCCCTGCGGAGCCAGGGGGAGAACCAGGGGTCGGGGCCTCTGGGCAGCCACGAGGGTGCTCAGGGAGTGTGGACAGGAGACGTGGGCCTCACTGCAGACACACCCAAGCAGGCACCACCAGTCCTGGTTACCAGGAGCTTTGTCACACACAACCCCACTGGGCAAGGGACCCGGCTCAGGCAGACCGACCCTCCCACACGCCAGGTGGGCCACCCTGACTGCTGCTCACCGAGGCGGGCAGGCAGCCCCTGTCATCACCTCTCCTCTGACTGCCCCCAATCCCTTCTCCTGTCAGTGGTGCCTCCTGAGCCCCACAACCAAATGCTCCCCAGGCTTTTTTCTTTTTTTTAATTGCCAGCGAGCACGTGTGCTGGCCAGAGACAGACAGGAGGAGGCCTCCCACCCCCACAGGCGTGGCCACGCCACAATCCTGGCCCCCAGTCCCCCATGCCGCAGAGATCTGGGTTATGTGGGCATGTTGCCCGGTGAGTTTCGCACCGCTGGGTCTGGGACTCGAGCCTCGCAGTCGGCTACGTGGGATCCAGGCCACGGGCTAGCCCCCTCAGGCCTTCTGAACCCAGGTTTGCCACAAGTCTACGTCCACTGTAGCCCAGCTGGGGGAAGCCAGCCCCTGCGAAGGTTCCTCCCACTCAACACAGACCCAATAACCAAGCCGCACCCCACAGGAAAGCCCATGCTGGAGCGCTCACCTCTGCGAGGCTCTCCCCACGGCGCCTGGACTCCCCCAAGGCCAACGACACAGCCTTTACCCCCCGGCAGGCCCAGACCTGGCACCTCCGAGAACCCCAGTGATCAGCATGGCACCTGGGGCCTCCTCCCAGCACCGGACCACCTGCTGCACCCTGTGACTCCACCCCCACAGAGAGCCACACTGGGGAGTGGGACTCTGCAGGACAGTGAGTGGTACTTGCAGGGGAGGCCTGGCTTCAGGGCTCAGCAGCCTTGGGGGCAGGGCCAGCAAGCAGCCCTGTGAGCCCTGAGCCTCAGTGCACCCATGCCCCACGGAGTCTGGAACTTTCTAGAACAAAGCTGCCCAAGGCCCGCTTGGCGCCTGGGTGCTGCCCACACCCCCAGCATGGTCCGCCAAATCACACGAGAATCTCCTTAGACGGCCTGAGCGGATCCGAACTCTCAACACGAAGAACTGTGCCTGCAGCCGCGGAGCCTCACTACAAACTGCAGCCGTCGAAGGTCACAGCGGACACAGCCTCGCACCCCCCACCCATTTCCACAGGCTGGCGGAGCGGGAGGGTGGGAGGCGCCCCAGCAGGACTAGGGCCTGTGGGGACGCGACGCACCTGCGCCTGCTCGGCCAGGCCTCGGCCCACGGCTACTGACCTCAACGTGACACTGGCCAATTCACCCCAACGCAGTCCAGCAAGGGGTCCCGCGTCACTGGTCATCTGGTTCAGGCTCTCTCCGTCCCCCAACCACACACCCCGGCCCGGCTGGCCCCAGGGTTCCCGGTCTCCCTCTGGTGCAGCTCGGGTGGGGGCGGGGTGCCCCGTCGCTCCTTCCCTGCAGACACACCTAGCCCTGCCCCTCTGCACCTCGGTCTCCCCCCACACACTCAGGCCAGGCTTCGGCTGCTGTCTCATCCTCCCGCGACCAGTGACGAGGGGCCAACTGTGACGGCTCCTGCGCTCTGGCACGGTAGCAACCATGGTGGCAGGCAGCTGTCACACGTGGGCCAGGCCCCTCGCGTAAAAACACACGGGAGCTCGCTCGCTCTCATGCAGAGGCCAGGACAGCCCGCCCAAGTCCGACAGCTCCCAGGGAGATTCCTGGGCCCTGGCTCCTAGGGACAGCTATGACCCGAGTGTCCCCGCACCTGACACCAGCCTCTACCATCCCCTTCTGCAGATCACATCCGCTCTTGTGTCCCCCCCCACACACCTGGGAAATGCGGAGGCCCTGGTTACCTAGGCCACCTTCCAACCTGACCAAGGACGCCCGGACAGCACTGCGCCCAGCGTGAATCTTAGGTAGTGGGAACACGCGCCCTAACGCTCAACCCTGCCCACTGCCGCTGGCACTCAGAGGACCCCAAGCCAGACCAGGCCTCCGGGCCTCCATGAGGCCAACTCGGCTGAAATGCTACGAAGGCCCTGAGGGGGAGGCAGACGGAGAGCCGACTCTCCCAGGAGGGCCACAGGGCTGGGAGAAGGTGATGCTGGGCCACAGCACAGAAACCAGAGCCGTCCCTGCCGTCCCTGCTGCCAGGAACATGGCCCACACCTGTGCTGCGAACAGAAGCCTGGGATTGGAACCATCGACTGGTGACTGGTGTGACCCTGTAAGAGACCCCAGGCCGGCAGGTGGCAGTGGTTGGGGGGCCAGACTCCCACAGGGTCAATCGCGGTTCGAGTCCCAGACCTGGTAGCTTGCTTTCATACTTTCTCACTTTCTCTTTCCGCCCTAACGCTCAACCCTGCCCACTGCCGCTGGCACTCAGAGGACCCCAAGCCAGACCAGGCCTCCGGGCCTCCATGAGGCCAACTCGGCTGAAATGCTACGAAGGCCCTGAGGGGGAGGCAGACGGAGAGCCGACTCTCCCAGGAGGGCCACAGGGCTGGGAGAAGGTGATGCTGGGCCACAGCACAGAAACCAGAGCCGTCCCTGCCGTCCCTGCTGCCAGGAACATGGCCCACACCTGTGCTGCGAACAGAAGCCTGGGATTGGAACCATCGACTGGTGACTGGTGTGACCCTGTAAGAGACCCCAGGCCAGCAGGTGGCAGTGGTTGGGGGGCCAGACTCCCACAGGGTCAATCGCGGTTCGAGTCCCAGACCTGGTAGCTTGCTTTCATACTTTCTCACTTTCTCTTTCTGTCTCTCTCTGATCAACTTTTAAAAAATGATAATGGATAAAGTTAAATAAATAATTCTTTAATAAAGAGAGAGACTGACCCCAGTCTCTGGGACGGCGAAGGTGGAGCACAGGGACCCTGAGTGGAGAGGAGGCAGCTCCGTGATCCAGCCCCCAGCGGTCAGTGAGCGCACCCCGGGGATGGCAGGCCGGCCTGGGCCAAACCTGCCCCCAAGAGCCAGGTGCCCTGCCACTGCCTGTTGACTTCTGCTCAAACGAAAGGTCCAGGTCATCAGGGCCCTCAAGTTCCAGAACCTTCTTACAGAGAGGAATGCTGCTTTCTGCTACCTTTCGCTACAGGAACCTGCTGGGACAGCTACCTGTCCCCCGAGACCTTCCTGGACACCAGGTCCCTGACGCAGGCATGAGGGTCCTCCCTGCGTGCACCTAGGCTGGAAATCCCACCAGGCCAAGCAAGTAGGACGGGCAGCCGCCATCCCTGCCCCCCAGCCCTGCGGCCTGCAGGGTGGCTTCAGGGAAGCCCAGCTGCACCCCTGCATGCTTCCTGCCCCGTGGCTCCACCGGCAGCAATGTTCTCCCCGGCAGAGCTGTCAGGCTCTGGTCCCGACGACCACCTGAGGGGCCTTGGGTAACCTTTCCCCAGGGAGCACTCGCCCAGTGACCCAGAAGTGGACAACTCACCACCCACCTGAGCATAGGGCACGTGGCTGGCACCTTGCTAGCCTGGAGCAAGAGGGCAGAGGAAGCCCAGACCCGCGCTGTACCTGACAACCACCCACTTTCACTTTCTGGGACCGCTACCTCGGGAAACTCAAAGCCCACCGTGAGCAGGCGGGAGCTACCACGGAAGGCAAGCAGCTGCTTTCTAAAAACCAGCAGCGCTGACGGCCAGTGTGGAGAAAGCTGCTCAAACTCCTCCTCTCCTGATGGCCCAGGGCGGCCAGGCCAGGGTCGCCACCACTGCCTAGCCAAGCAGGGCCGGGGAGGGACTACTCGGACAGACCTTCCAGACATCAGGAAGGTCAGAAAGAAATGCCCGTCTCGGGCCTACTGGCCAGCTGCGTGCCTTATCTGTCCCCATCGAGGCCTCCAGACGGAAAAGGGCTTTGCAAATGACAGGCTGCATTCCCCTGCCAGGATTCGCCTGCCTGGGAGGGCGGGAAGGGGAGGTCTCTAACGCCACAGGCCGGCCAGGCAGGATTTAGATATTTTCTAGATGCCCCTGAAAACCAGTAAGACAGAAACATGCCACACAACCCAGGCCACCACATACACCCAGAAAAAGAATATCCACTTTAAAGGAGAAACTTAGGAGGACCTCTACTAACTGCCCAGGCAGAAGGAAAACTTTTTCCTGTCCTCACTGCAGGGGACAGAGAGAGCATGAAGAGGGGCAGCCAAGAAGGTTCTTTGGATTCCCCAGGGCTCCTGGGGGCTAGACTGCCCAGTGGCCCCGATATCCCTCCCCTCCCCCCCGGCCCCCAAACACACAGACTTTAGCAGACAGTGGCCAAGTTCAAGGGGAGAGGCACAGCTGCGTCCTCAGAGCAGAGGGCTGTGGGCCAAATTAGGGGTCCCAGAAGCTCAAGGGTTCAGCTCAGCAGGGACCCTGCCCTGGTGGGTCTCAGGGGACTGAGCTCTGTGGCCCCTGCCCCCAGGGGAAAGGAGGCCCTCTGACTCACTCCAGCCCGGCCCTGTCCCCAAGAGGGCGGCTTCCCGAGCCCCCAGTTTTATTCACAGCTGCCTGGCCAGGGCCATGTGGGTGTCCGAGGTTTGGGGTGCGCCTCTGTCCCCTCCTGGGCTCGTACCACATTGTCCCGCCTGTGCCCACCCCAAATAGGAGGGGAGCAATCGCCCTCCCGCCGCAAGTCCATCTCGCCAGGATTAAGCGCTTTTCGGGATGATTTCAAACGAGAACCAGAGCTCCTCCTGGCCTGGCCGCAGAGTCCAGCAACTCCAGAGGCTCAAAGTCAGCTCCGGGACCGCCACTTGGGGAGGGGCCGCGCCCCACGCCACGCCGTCGCTCGGGGCTGCCGTGCTGAGCTCTGGCCTGGGCTGGCCTTGCCCCCCGCCCCAGTCGCGGCGCGAAGCGACAGTCCCCAGCGGCAGCCCGGGAGAGAGGCCGGGCGCGCGGAGCGGGCGCGGGAAAGTGGCCGCGGCCGGGACGCACCTTCCCCCTCCGCGTCCTCCCAGTTTCCCCCTTCGAAAGATGGCGGGCAGAGGAAAGGGGAAAAAAAATCCCTTCCGAGAGGGAGGGCGCGCGGAGGCCGGGCTGGCGCGGAGCGCGCGGACCGTGCCAACTCCGGGCTGCGCGCCCC